GGGGCTCGATCCCAGGACCCTGGGATCATGACCTGAGCCGAAGGCAGACGCTTAACGACTGAGCCACCCAGGTGCCCCAGCACTGTTTTTAAACATTAGTATGACCCACTTTACAGCCTGCAAACTGCACCTTGTTACGTTGCTTCATCTACCTCTCATTTCAATCCCACTTCCGACCTTTTCCAGGACAGCGAAGAGGCCAAACACGGCAAGAAGCTCCTGAGTCGGCACTTCTTCCCCACCGGCGCCCTACGCTATCACGCCACAAACTAATTTCCTGCCCCTGTCTCCTCCTCCGCCTCCTTTCCCAGAAGCACCCTCAAAACTTCCAGTCCGTCCACTAACCATGGCCCGCCACGGGAGAACTGGACTCAGAACTTCCGGTCCTGCGCAGGGCCTCCTGGCATTGCAGGATGGGATGGAGAGGAGCCGGGCGGAAGTGGTCCTTCCCATTTTACGTCTGAGCCCAAGGTACTGCTAGAGGTTGCCCGGAATGGTTCCGGTTTACGTTTCGTGTCCTTGTATAATTATTAAAAGAGCTCCTTTCACTGTCAAAAGCGTACCAGGTGAGGACAAATTACATTGTCTTCCTAGTTCTAGTCATTTTGGTTTGAAATAGGAAGGAAGGAGGCGAGCAGGTGAGGGGCGTTCTCTCTAATGGGTCCCGCGCTCGACTTCCGGTAGCCCGAAGACACTAGTTTCGAAACGTGTTATGCAAGGGCATCTTTTTTGTTTCAACAACAGCTGTGCTAAGGTGGTAAGTAACATCACTCATTCTTTCATTCACTTATCGAGACTCTTGCTAAGCTCTGTGTTTTAATTCTTGGCTTCGAGTGAGCATACTGGGCGGGGAGGGTGATATTGGAACAGACTTAATTAGAAAAATATATAGCGTATTATTGATAAGTGCTATAGGAAAAGATAATTGGGCAGGTACTAGAGTGAAGGCAGTTTTAAATAGAGTTATCAGAGACTTGGACGTGAGGAATATAACTGTCCAGACGTCTGAGTCTAAGTGCTCCAGACAAAGAAAGAACACCCAGTGTCTAGACCCCAAGGCGGAAATGTACCTGACTTGGAAGAGTTGCAGGGAGGCTTTTGAAGAAGAGTGAACAGGGAAAGTAGGAGATTGAGGGGCTTGAGTCGGGTAGGTTCTCATCGTTTCCATAACCAGATTTTTATTACTTGGGGATGCTATTCGAGACTCTTTCTTTCTTTTAAATATGCAGTAGAAATGAGCATGTGTGAATTAAGAGAGGAAAATGAACTTAATTTTCTCTTTTGGGAATAGAGACACGTTTTCTAACTTCTGGTAAGACTGAGAAATTAAGCAATAGTACTTTCTGAAACGATCAAGAAGAAGAATGGTAAGTTTTGTACAATTTTTTTTTAAGATTTTATTTGTCAGAGCATGAGCAGCTTGAAATAGAAGAAAAGCAATGAGAATAATGCTGTCTCCCTCTCACCCTACCTCCAACTCACACACTCCCACCCTCTATCAACCCCACCATACTTTCTGACTGCTAGATACTCCTGGAAGAAGAGAAGTGAGAAAGGAAGCCTCAGAGTAACCCCCCACCCGACAAGGGAATAACAAAAAGAATGCACGTTACTGGAACATCAGATAAACAAAACGCAAGCAAGGAGTAATATGGTTACCTCTGCACATTTAGGATCTAGAAACACAGAAGATTGTTGTCTTTAGTGAAGAAAGGAATTGTTTTTAACACTCTCTCTCATAATTAAATTACATAAGGGAACTGGTGGAGACTTTGTTTTGAAAAGTTGTTTTCTTACTATTTTTCAATATATATTAATGATGTTGGTGAGTTGCCATTTAAATCAGTAATATTAACATAACCATTGTTTTCATTTTTATTGATGAAAAATTCATACTTAAAAGAAGTATTTCCATCACAATATTTACTGTTAAATGTTTAGGGTAGACAGCATTTTACATTAACATATTTATCTTCTGGAGTTTTTTCCTACTGTTGAAATAAATTTTGAAGAAGTACAGCTTACTCTCAGCTATGTGGACAGTTCATCTCTGAAATGGTATTTCTTTTTGTGTTTTCATTCATATTCTCATCTTTAATCTAGTTGGGGAAATAATACAGTGCATAAAGTTATGGAGAAATCTCATTTGTTCTTACATTTTTTTCTCCTTTTTAGTCAGTGACACTGCATACAGATGTAGGTGATATTAAAATAGAAGTTTTCTGTGAGAGAACACCCAAAACTTGTGAGGTGAGTACATTATGTACATATAAAAAATGAGTTAATGCCGCAGGATAACCATTTTGAAATTAAATTATCTAACCTAAAAAACAATAAACACTTGTATATAAAACCAGTGTCAGGAAAAACTAACCATCATAATTTCTGGTCTAGTTTCCACTTAACTTTTGATGTTAAAGGTGGATCAAAGAAAGGGTAGATAATTTTTCTCTAACCATAGAGTGGTTGGTATCTTTTTCTTTTCACTTATTTTCCTCAGGAAATATAATCATTAGGATATTAGATAAGAGAACTGTTTCTTACATTATTTTAATTATTTAAATTTCAAAGAAGGAAAGAGCTCTCTATATTCATTCAACAATTATTTATGAAAGGCTATCTTGTCAGGGGAATACAGTAATGACCAAGAGACATCCCTTGCCCTCATGGAGCTAACATTCTGAGAAAAGAAGTTGGTGGTGGGTGGGAGGGTCATTCTAGAAAAAAGTGATTCTAGATCATGATAATGCCTTGAAGGAAACAAAGTGTTGAAATAGAGACTAATGGAAAAGAATTATTTAAAAGAAGTTGAGGGCAGGCCTAGCCAAGAAAGTGATACTTAAACTGAGTGCAGAACGTAATGAAGGCATCTCCATGGAAAGAGATAAAAAGAATATTCCAGGTGTAGAGATAGAAGTGCAAAGGCCTCAAGATGGGAAAGCCTACCTCTTTTGGATGAATTTTCAGAATGATGATGGGGTTAACATAGTAAGTAAGAGAAAGAAGTTATTAACACATGAGATGTAGAGGTATGACTATATTCTATTCCAAGAACAGAAGGAAGCCATTCAAGTGTTTCAGGCAGAAAAGTGACATTATCCAAAGTAATGCCTAAAAAACATAAATGCATTGTTATGGTGTTTTGAGTAAATACAGTTTGTTCATTACTTTAAATGTGTTTCTGCTACACCATTTCCCAATCATTATTTTTACCCTTTTCAGAATTTTTTGGCTCTTTGTGCCAGTAATTACTACAATGGCTGTATATTTCATAGAAATATCAAGGGTTTCATGGTTCAAACAGGAGATCCGACAGGTAAGTTACTGCATTAATATCTATCTAGAGAATTGGGTATATAGTATGAAGAAGAGGGCAGACAAATAGAAAAATATATAATGTAACATTGTGTGTCAACTATACTCAAAAATATTTTTGGGGGGAGGTGCCTGGGTGTCTCAGTCAGTTGAGCATCTGACTCTTGATTTCGGCCCAGGTCTTGATCTCAGGGTTGTGAGTTCAAGCCCCTAGACTAGGCTTGGAGCCTACTTAGAAAATACATATATATAAATATATTTTTTTAAGTAAATAAAATTCATTTAATTTTTATAAAATAAAACCAAAGATATAAGCCCATAGAGTTTTTATAACCCGGCTACCTTACCATAGCAAGAAATTTTTAAGTAGAAGCTACTGGCATCTATCTTTAAAATAAAATATGACTGGCGTGCTTGGGTGGCTCAGTCAGTTGAACATTGGACTCTTGGTTTCGGCTTGGGTCGTGATCTTGGGATTGTGAGATCAAGCCATGCATCAGACTCTGCACTGAGCACAGAGTTTGCTTGGGATTCTCTCTCCCTCTCCCTCTGCCCCTCCTGCTCGTGCACTCTCTCTCTCTCCTTAAAATAAATAAGTAACATCTTAAAATAAAATATGAACAATAATGATAGAGGAGTTGTTTTTTTTTATAGAGATACTTTATTTTTCTGGTCTGTAAAGTGAAATTTTGAGAAGAGAGGACATAACAAGTTTTATCTTTATTTTATTTATTTATTTTTTTTAAAGATTTTATTTATTTATTTGAGAGAGAGAGAATGAGAGAGAGCACATGAGAGGGGGGAGGGTCAGAGGGAGAAGCAGACTCCCTGCCGAGCAGGGAGCCCGATGCGGGACTCGATCCAGGGACTCCAGGATCATGACCTGAGCCGAAGACAGTCGCTTAACCAACTGAGCCACCCAGTCGCCCTCTTTATTTTTTTAATTTATTTATTTTTGTGAGAGAGTGCACGTGGGTGCGCAAGCATGAGCGGGAAGAGGGACAGAGGGGAAAGCAGACTCCCTGCTGAGCAGGGAGCCCAATGTGGGACTCGAACCCAGAACCCTGGGATCATGACTAAAGCCAAAGGCAGACGCTTAACCGACTGAGCCACCTAGGCACCACAAATTTTATTTATATTTAGTTATTAGGGCACCTGGGTGGCTCAGTCGGTTAAGCGTCTGCCTTCGGCTTGGGTCATGATCTCAGGATTCTAGGGTCAAACCCCACGTTGGGCTCCCTGCTCAGTGCAGAGCCTGCTTCTCCCTCTTCCTCTGTCTCTCCCCCAGCTGTGCGCTCTTTCTCTCTCACAAATAAATAAAATCTTTAAAAATAAATAAATAGATAGTTATAAACTAGCCCTTATGTTTTAGAAAATGAACCTTTTCAACTTTAATTATTTTTTTAAATTAGATACTTCTTTTGATTTGTCCGTCTTGTAATATAGGTACCGGAAGAGGAGGTAACAGTATCTGGGGCAAGAAATTTGAGGATGAATATAGTGAATATCTTAAGGTATATCTCTAGTGCTTCAAAATCTATTTTCTCATGCCTTGTTTACACTTGAAAACTTTAATACATACATTGTAGTAACACAAGTTAATGTCATTAGTATACAAACATTACTTTTTTGTAGTCTTAGTACACTTGATAAATGTCAGGGAGAAATTTATAAATATAAATTGCATTTCTTGCCTAAAATATATTCTGGAATGTCACAATCACATGGATCTTGATATTAAGTGAGCTTATCTTTGGGTCCAACCTGAAATGTTTAATCAGTAATGTACCAAAAGGGCTTAATGTCTCACTATAAAATTTATGTTGAATGACATGAATCACCAGCCTTTTTTGAGAGTAGGGAGGAAAACCTATGAGACCTCCTGGTTGCAGTATTGCACATTATCAATATGAACTTTTATTATCTTCTGTTTGATGTTTGAATATTCCTGAATTAATGTCTGTGGTGGATCCCAACTAGGTTAAAGGGAAGTGCATAGCGTGGTAAAATTAGAGATTTTTATTTCCTTTCCTGTTTTTTTTTTCTTTTCATATTTTTTCTCAATTTTCCAAACTTTCTGAAGAAGCTTTTCTTTTTAATTTCCTTTAAGAAAAAAAAAAAAAGATTTTATTTTTAAGTAATCTCTACACCCAGCATGGGGCTCAAACTTACAAACCCGAAATCAAGAGTCGCATGCTTCACCAACTGAGCTAGCCAGGTACCCCAAGAACCTTTTTTTTTTTTTTAATAAGAAACTAGTGCATGCCTGTTTTTTTTTTTTAAAAAACTAATTAAATTAAAATTAAAAAATTAAATCAATCAGTTATACTTCCCAGAGAGGACATCTGCTGACAGTTATCATGTGGTCTTTTAAACTTTGTATCTGCATAAAATGATAACTTTAGAAATTAGAAAAAAGAGAGAAATTCTTCTCTGTAAGAATATGTAATTTAGTACATCATATTTCAGTCACATTAAAATATATTCTGAAAAAAATCCAGGACAATTCTGAAAAAAATTCCATTGCAGTGTTTATGTCTGGATGGTGAGACTAGGAGTAATTTATTTTTTCTTCTTTTTGTTTTCTTTCATAAGGGAACATTACTTTTGTTATAGGAGTTGAGGTTGGGAGGTGATAAATTGTTTATAAGTCATCCTTTTCCTGAATTAAAAACAAAACAACTTTTTAGGCATTAATTAATAACTGCTTCCATAACACTAATCTGTATACCAGTGGTTTTCAACACTGGTTAATACAGACTCACCTATGGAAGTTTTAAAAATATGAAATATTTTGGCCTTACACCCCCTAAATAGAAAAAGAATAGGCCCGATTAGGACCTAAATTATACTTCAGGTTTCCTGCATGATTCCTACAGTTAGGGTTAAGAACCTTTATATACCAGAGTTGAGGGTGTGTATTGAATATTTACATACTCTGACCCAGCAATTCCATTCCCAAATGTTTACCCTCCAGAAACTCTTGTACATGTGCATCAGGAAACAGTACAAGAGTGTTCCTAGAGTGCTATTTTAATAGCAAAAATCTAAAAACAACCCAAATGTCCACTGATCATAAAATGGAAATTATATTCAGTTGTGGAATATTATCCAGCAGTAAAAATCACAACTACCGCTACACATTCGTGTGTAAATCTTAGAAACATAATGATGGTATAAATAGCATTTCCCAGAAGACTACAGATAGTATGATACTATCTTAGAGAGCTCAGAAACAAAAGAAAAAAATATATTTTTTAGGCATGTATAAAGATAGAATAGTGGTTCTCTCTTGGAGAAGTTGAGGTAATAGATGAGTACATAGGCATACGCAACAGTTTGGTAAATTATCTTAGAAATAGGTTAATGAGTATTAAGTTATAAGTGGTACATACATTCTTGTGTATTATCAAATGTAACATTTGGGAGTCACCTTTTAGGAAGACAATAAAGCATTAATATCTTTTTTCACATTTTTTATTTAAATTCAATTAACATATAATGTATTATTGGTTCCAGAGGTACAGGCCTGTGATTCATCAGTCTTATATAATACCCAGTGCTCATTACATCACATGGCCTTAATGTCCATCAGAGCATTAATATCTTGATATAGCTATATTTCTATTGCTTGTCTCATTAGTGTTTCCTGATGAATAGCTAAAAAGGGAGTGACCATTATTTATTGCAGCACCTCCTTATAACACAGTTCTGTCATGTCTTCAGTCTTATCAATAAAGTTCTTTTAATTCTTTAAACAGTCCCTGTATAACAAATAGTATCATGAATATTTGAGCTGTAGGAGACCTTCCCTTAGATCATCCAGTCCTGGGTCATGAACTGACTGCCCTTGGGTAGGATCCACAGATGTATTCTCAATGGCCATTGGTTTAAAAAAATTTTTTAGTGCTATTAGGTAAGAGATATACCATTCCTTTTGCCAGACTCCATCACTCCCTAATGTGTACATTCTGTCCAGTTAATCAATTTATTATCTGCTGACCCCTGTGAGCATTTGAATTACGAATAAACCCCTGAACTAGTCCAACCTCCCTCCCTTGTTTTACAGATAAAGAAACTAGCCAGAGTCCAGTGTATGTGTGAAGAGCTTATGGGGATTTTGGTTTTGTTGTCTGCCTGATCGTTTCATGCCAGCATGTTCCTTAATATAAATGTAAGGATGTCTGTTAATACCTTAGTATTGCGAAAAATGTTTGTGGCTATACTCCTCCAAAGTGAAAATGAAATTAACTAAGGCATATGATTTGATATATAAACAATTCACATACAAGTTTTTGAAATACAGATAATACAGAAAGTGAACATTCGGGTTAGCCCTAATAGAAGCTGATTAAATGTTTTCTTGGTTCCTTAAAAAGTACAGGTCTTGGGGCACCTGCGTGGCTCAGTCGTTAAGCGTCTGCCTTCGGCTCAGGTCGTGATCCCAGGGTCCTGGGATCGAGCCCCGTGTCGGGCTCCCTGCTCCGCAGGAAGCCTGCTTCTCCCTCTCCACTCCCCCTGCTTGTGTTCTCTCTTTCACTGTGTCCCTCTCTGTCAAATAAATAAGTAAAATCTTTAAAAAAAAAAAGTACAGGTCTTGGCTTGAGTCCTATATTTGGAATATTTATATAAAAACACAGTTAAATATTTTGGCCTTTTACAGCACAATGTTAGAGGTGTTGTATCTATGGCTAATAACGGGCCAAACACCAATGGATCTCAGTTCTTCATCACCTATGGCAAGCAGCCACATTTGGACATGAAATACACAGTATTTGGAAAGTGAGTATTTTGGTTACTGTTTTCTTTGGAATTTCATTGCAAGGGATACATATGAGAGGCTATGATAATAGCGTAATACTGAAGGAGCAGTATGAAGCTAAATACACCTGCTAAGTCCACCACTTACCAGCACTGTGACCTTGGGAACTTATAACCAAGCCTTAATTTCTTTATTTTGTAAAATAGGAGCCAATCTTTTTTTTGTAAGGATTATTACGCAAATTAACAGTAATGTATTTCTTCTTATGAATAGCATTTTGCAGCAACTGACAGATCTGAAAAACAGTGGCTTCAAAAAGATGGGCTAAGATGGTGGTTCCCTTCTGTCACCAGTGTTCTTCCTAAACCATCTTTATCTTCCATCCTCATGCTCACCTCATGGTCCTAATATGGGCAGCATAGCTCCAGTCAGAACATGTGTTCCAGGCAGAAAGGAGGAGGGAGGGCAAGAGGTGCTTGCCAGCTGAGTCAGCCCTATTTATGTATGTATGTATGTAGGTAGGTATGTAGGTATGTATGTATTTAGTAGGCTCCACAAGTCAGCCCCTTTTTAAAGAGCTTTCCTAAAGATCCAGAACTTAGCAATGAGGCCTCCCCTTATCTACAAGGGAGGGTAGGAAATGTTTTTCAGCTAGACACACTGCTGCTCTCAATAAAATCAGGTTTCTATGAGTAAGAAGGGGAGCCTGGATCCTAGGGAGGTGTTTAGCAGGCTCTGCCAAAATATCCAGTTAGCACTATGCCTGGGAATTGCTTTTATAAATCAGCAAGAAGTCAACTTGTCTATTCATTTAACTAATATTTACTATGCTCAATAAACCAAGGCACAGTTCTAGAGTTTCTTTCACTTAACAGTGTGGATGCCAAATTAGGTTAATTAAAAATAGAAGACTCAACAACTCTTAGTTTTCATTCCATATATATATTTAATTTATAGATTAATATTCAGTGAAATTAATGAAATATTACGGCCCCTAGTAGTAATTGCCTGGATATAGATCACTCAGGTTCCCTTCTTTTCATTTTCTCCTTTAACCCACCATTCAGAGTTATCGATCATTAATTACTAAGATTTATGTTACTAGTTTTGTGACAGAACTAGAGAGTTAAGAACAAAGATTCTTAACCTTAGGTCCCTTAAGTCCTTGAAATTATGTGTTCTGTGTGTATACACACGTTTTTCTGGGAAGATGGTACATAGCTTTCCATTTGTTTTCAAAGGGCTCTGTGTCCCAAATACTTGACTGACTTGCCTCAATTCTGCATGCCCTTTTTTGCCTGAGATCTGTTTCCTATAGCCTCTGTTTCTCTTACTGACCCAGAAGGTGGGAAGGTTTTTGAAACTTTAAATTTAAAGACTTTGGTGGGGGGCGCCTGGGTGGCTCAGTCCATAAAGCAACCAACTCTTGATTTTGGCTCAGGTCATGATCTCGGGTTCCTGGGATGGAGCCCAGTCTGCTGGAGATTCTCTCTCCCTCTCCCCCCACTCACATGCTCTTTCACTCGCTCTCTCTAAAATAAATAAATATATAAATAAAGCAAGCCACCTTTTCTTAGCAAATGTTTTAGACCAACTTGCCTGAAGGATAGCTGTCTATATATATTTTTTTCTTTGTAGTAACATGAAATACACTTGCTGGAAATGGGCTTAAGTGTCCCATCTTCCCTTCTCTTATTATTACTGCTTTTTGTTGCTGCCCAGATGCAAAAAGTAAAAACACATTTAAACAATGAAGTGTAAAGCAGCCACTCACTTCAGGACCTTTAGTATAGGGCAGTACTAAGTAATAAGTGTCACCCATACATACTTTCTCTGGGCTTTCCGATAGCAAAGAAAATCTTAAAACTGGTTATATTAGACCCATTTGTAGCTATGCTGTGGGAGTACTTTGATGGTAATATTCCTACCCATTGCTATTGTCTAAAGGCATAAAAATGAATTTTTGTTTCTGAATTTTGGCTAATATCCATGGTAGAAAATCAGTATTTTATTGCACACTTAACTAGGGAATTCAAAGAACTATGAGACATGGTCCTTTTCTCTTAAGGAAACTGTAATTGCTATAGGTATTTGGATACTATGTTTCAATCTAAGGAATTTTTCATACATTTTTATTGTTTCTATTTCAGGGTAATAGATGGTCTGGAGACTCTGGATGAATTGGAGAAGTTACCAGTAAATGAGAAGACCTATCGACCTCTTAATGATGTACACATTAAGGACA